CGGAAAATTGAATTTGGTGTAGAATTGTTGATTCTGATGGGAGCTTTAGAATTGGAATTTGTATCTTTGAAGGATTAGTTACGACTCCTTGATCGATTAAGGTTAGGCGTTAGCAGTATTAGCACATGGATGACAATCGGACATTTCCCTGAGTATGCCTGAATTTGGGGCTTTGTTTTCCTCTTTGAATCACGCTCTTGCTTTGTATGATGATCGCGTAGAACATTGAATAAAATCATTTATCATGATCCTTGCAGAAAACAACGTTTAAAGTTTCATTTGCTACAATGGGAAACTATCGACATTCCAAGTTTTCGATTAGTATTCTGCATTCATCTCTATAAATGGTCTAATCTACCAGGATCAGGTCATGCTAGATCCGGAACTTTTGACTTGCACAATTTTCAGCTTATTTAGATTGAAAACCCCATTCTGTGAAAGATCCACTTCTTCACCTCTTTGTAGTACTATTTAGAGAAAATAGACTGTGGTTTACTATGAGATCTCACGTCGGTTGGGGAAAACAAAACATTCTTTATAAGGATGTGAAAACCTCTCCTTAGCAGACGCTTTTTAAAAACCTTGAGAGGAAGTTCGAAAAGGAAAACACAAAGAAGACAATATCTGATAGTGGGGAGTTTGTGCTGTTACAAATGGTACCAGAGCCAGACACTGGGTGATGTGCCAGCGAGGAGACTGAACTCCGAAGGGAAGTGGACACGAGGCGGTGTGCCAATAAAGACGTTGTGCTTTGAAGGGGGGTAGATTGGGGGGTCCTACATCGATTGGAGAAGGAACGAGTGCCAGCGAGGACAGTGGGCCCCAAAGGGGGTGGATTGGGGGGTCCCACATCGGTTGGAGAAGGGAACGAGTGCCAGCGAGGATGTTGGGCCTTGAAGGGGGTGGATTGTGAGATCTCATATCGGTTGGGGAGGAGAACTAAACATTCTTTATAAAGGTGTGGAAACCTCTCCCTAGTTAGACCCATTTTAAAAACCTTGAGGGGAAATCCGAAAGGGAAAGTTCAAAGAGGACAGTATGTGCTAGTTGTAGGCTTGACTTGTTACATTTACCTAATTATCTTGCAACTTCATTTTTTCCGTTAGAGATGCTGGCTTCTTCACTTAGGTTTATCAGATTTTTATCTTCTTTTTCTTGTTTACCTCCATAATACTTGAATAGTTTCAGAACCACATGTTTCTTCAATTTTAGTGAAATTTCTTAAAGAAAAAGTTATTTCAGAACCTTTTTCCTTNGACATTCCAAGTTTTCGATTAGTATTCTGCATTCATCTCTATAAATGGTCTAATCTACCAGGATCAGGTCATGCTAGATCCGGAACTTTTGACTTGCACAATTTTCAGCTTATTTAGATTGAAAACCCCATTCTGTGAAAGATCCACTTCTTCACCTCTTTGTAGTACTATTTAGAGAAAATAGACTGTGGTTTACTATGAGATCTCACGTCGGTTGGGGAAAACAAAACATTCTTTATAAGGATGTGAAAACCTCTCCTTAGCAGACGCTTTTTAAAAACCTTGAGAGGAAGTTCGAAAAGGAAAACACAAAGAAGACAATATCTGATAGTGGGGAGTTTGTGATGTTACAAATGGTACCAGAGCCAGACACTGGGTGATGTGCCAGCGAGGAGACTGAACTCCGAAGGGAAGTGGACACGAGGCGGTGTGCCAATAAAGACATTGTGCTTTGAAGGGGGGTAGATTGGGGGGTCCTACATTGATTGGAGAAGGAACGAGTGCCAGCAAGGACAGTGGGCCCCAAAGGGGGTGGATTGGGGGGTCCCACATCGGTTGGAGAAGGGAACGAGTGCCAGCGAGGATGTTGGGCCTTGAAGGGAGGTGGATTGTGAGATCTCATATCGGTTGGGGAGGAGAACTAAACATTCTTTATAGAGGTGTGGAAACATCTCCCTAGTTAGACCCATTTTAAAAACCTTTGAGGGGAAGTCCGAAAGGGAAAGTTCAAAGAGGACAGTATGTGCTAGTTGTAGGCTTGACTTGTTACATTTACCTAATTATCTTGCAACTTCATTTTTTCCGTTAGAGATGCTGGCTTCTTCACTTGGGTTTATCAGATTTTTATCTTCTTTTTCTTGTTTACCTCCATAATACTTGAATAGTTTCAGAACCACATGTTTCTTCAATTTTAGTGAAATTTCTTAAAGAAAAAGTTATTTCAGAACCTTTTTCCTGAACCACATGTTTCTTCAATTTTAGTGAAATTTCTTAAAGAAAAAGTTATTTCAGAACCTTTTTCCTTATCCATATAAGTTAGGCCAAGATCAGTCCGGAATTCAAGTCTTTCCAAGGTGAAATTGACCTTAGATATTTGTTAAGCCTTTTAAGTTCATATGTTGTATGGTTGTGTGCTGAATGTAAAAAATAAGGTAGTTGCTTGTTTTATAAGTGAACTAGGAAAAGAAATTCACATGCTATGAGATTTCTCTGGGCAAGTTGGAGAGATAGGGAGAGGAGTTGGTTCCTGGTGTCTCCTGTTTGAGACAAAAAAATGCACTTGTGACCACCATCATGTTTAGTCAACAAGCTGAGGTATTGATCATGTGGTCATGTCGTCGAAGAATATATATAATTGTTTTCTTCATCGCCTTTTACATCCATGAATTGCAAAGAACTTATGGACGACCCTCGATCTCTAGCAGTTGGAAGCTTTTCCACCAGTTGGCTGTCAAATATGATGCAGTCCTATGATGCCACATCCAAAATGATGGATTGTAAGATTGTTAAGCCTTCAAGGTTTCTGGATGAACCCCAGAGCTTCAAATTCAATACTCCAATCCATCCATCTATCCTCATAGCCCATGCTGATGAACTCTTCTTTGATGGTTCTATCAGACCTGTTTATATAAGTCACACAAGATTGGGAGCCTCTAACACATCTGATTTTTGATGGTTCTATCAGACCTGTTTATATAAGTCACACAAGATTGGGAGCCTCTAACACATCTGATTTTGTCCCAGTTAAAGCACAATTCTTCACTTGCTTCTTTAACTTCTAGTCCATCCATAGGAAACCAATGTTGTCATTCTGGAAGATGGAGACGATCGTTTCTTTTACGGTTCGTTAAGCTCCAGTTCTTTACTTCATTGTTTCTCATTCTGTTGTTGTTTTAGGGGAATGATGTCCAGAACCAAAAGAAACGGACAATGGAAGATTTCTGGAAGGGTTGTCCTCTTTTTCTCTGGCAATATCCCTTTTCCCTTCATTTTCTATGGAGAAATTATATTCTGTTGGTCTTGTGTGGATGAAAGGCTTGGATAGGATCGTAGATTTGTTCATAAACAAAGTATCTCATGCATCCTTGAGTGTGCATATACCATAGAGGAAGAGAAACGAGTCATTATTCAAGAAAAAACAGGGTATCTGTTGTTGAGGATTGTTGGAAGGAGTCCCACATTGACTAATTCAGGGAATGATCATGGTTTTATAAGTAAGAAATATGATCATGGCTTTATAAGTAAGGAATATGAGGCCTGTTGGGAAAGTCTAAAGCAAAATCACGAGAGCTTATGCTCAAAGTGGACAATATCATACCATTGTGGAGAACTGTGATTCCTAATATCTGTTTCATATGGATAGGAATTTGAGGCATTTTCATGGGTACAAAACCAACTAAAAGTTAGCTTATTTAAGTAGTTGACTTGTTTCTTCACATATCTACATAGGTGCTTCGTCAATTATAAAATGACTATGCGATGTTCCATTGCTAGTTTCAGTCGTAGGAAATCTTCAGTTTTCTCTATCCTAATTTCAATTCATGGAATCTGGAAGGAAAGCTACCATTTCTGCGTCTAAAGAGTGAAAGAGGAAGAAAGGGTAACGTTAGGCTAGTTGAATGTGAGAGGACAGGACATGGACAAAATGTGTTGGGAAAAAAGCCACGAAGATCAACCTCACAACGTTGGTTTCACACCCTTTTGTTGTTTTCTTTCTTGATCATGGTCTTTGCCCATGGCCTTGGGACACACGAATAGGTTATCACCAAAATTCAGTGCACCTTAATCTTGAATTTGATATGGCTTGTTTATGTTATATGAACAGGCGTTGTGAGTTGTGTGGAGGATGTAGAACTCTTAAATGCTTCGTTCTCCTCCTCGACTGATATGGGATTTCATAGTGTGCTTGTCTAATCACGAAAAATACTTAAAACATATAGATATGAAACCTCTGTATTGGATGCAAAACAACAAAATCTGAAGCTAATGTGTCCTACAAAGGCAAAAGAAAAGAAGATAGAAAGAAGAAGAATTCCCCACCACACAAGCATTTGGGCGGTGAGGGGGACCGAAGACATTGAAATGGGAAGCATGTCCCCCATTTGTCAACAATGAGTAGCTGTTGCTGCTGCCATTGATGCGGCGGCAAATGCCCAATATTAAGATCAGATCATCTTTGAGTTGCTTTGTCCACCTTCTGACTACAATTGAAATCAAATGGGTTTGCATTTTTTGTACAACAAATGATTCCATGTGTTCTGAAAATAGTTTCAAACATATATGTAGATTATCATACTCGGATCGACTAAGTAAGTGGCTTATTTTCATTTTTGTATCCGGAGCTTACTAAAGGTGAAACATTTGAACATTTTATGCCTCTAACATTTCTATTTGAATTTTATAAAAATATCAAATTAAAAATAAATTACAACTAGCTTAATGGTAGTTGACTTGTGCACAAATTTTCCAACGAGTTTAGCCAATTTATGAGGAGTTAGGCCAATTTATTCTTGAAAGAAAACAAAGACGAGAGAAAATTTGACAGCAAAATTAAAAAAAAAAAAAAAAGTGACTCAATTAAATCAATTTTCAATTAGATGTGTATATGATAAACTGGATTTTATAATCCCCATTTGATTTTAATCTTACTATTCTTCTATAATCACGTTCAAATTTTAAAAATTATAAATCAAAGACTAAATAATTAATTATCAAATTTGAAATTTAACTACTATTTTATTCTCTTGTGCTGGACCGAAATTAACCAACTACACAAATCATGGTGGATTTGAAATAATCTCACTAAAGAAAGCCCAAGCTCACTAAAGCTTCGCAAGTTCCAGAGAATTGTAGTATAGATTTCGAAAGCAAATGACAAGGTCCCAAATCGGTTTGTGGTGGTTCCCGATGCTGCTACCAAATCCGCCGCTGGTATAACCTAATTGTGCGTGTGCGTTGAAGGCTCTCGATCTCGTTTAGTAAATGTGTTTGTTCATAATTTGTAGCATACTACGATGTCCACAGGGCAGGGATGGGAAAGGCCGACAATCCAATCCTATATTGGGACTACTTAATTTCCACCTGCGAGGGAAGAAATTTACAGAGATAGAATTCCAGTTTTCCACTCCACTAATGAACTTTTATGTTTCAATTTGGAAGAACTACGTTTGCATTAGGATCCATATTGAAGAAACAAGTTTCAATGCTGCATTCTTGATATACATATAATAGTAGATTTTGAGGAAATTTAAGGAAGAAAATGCTGATAAGTAAAACAGATTCTGCCTAACCACTCCCGACGAAACAAGATCAACAAATCCACTAAATCAAAAACAGTGAAATCAGGAAGAAAAAAAATGTTGCCGAGGGTTCAAGACGATCCAAAACTAATGAAATTTGGGCGTCCTACGATTCGGCAGTCTAATCTGCGAAGGAATTAATTAAATGTTAGAGAGCACTCAATCTATGAGTTATCCTGCCCTCTGCTGGGACCTTCGCTCGAATCAACCAACTAAAAAACGGAAGTACATTTCTATATGAAAAAAAAATCGAAAACCGAACCAATTATTCAGAGCTTGGCTCGGCGATCTGCTTTCACTACGATTTCCGAAGGCAAACTTGGAGCAAAAGCGCATTGATTAGAATGGCGCCCCATCCATAGGACCCTTCGGATCGGAAATAAAGAAATAAAATAAAGAAGATACGAAGCTCAGTGAATACGAACCAGATAGATATTCATCTTACAGAGGGATTATCAAGTAACCACTCTATAATCGATGATTTTCATCTTCAATTTCGTTCTTCATCGCAATAATCTTCACTATTTTGCAGAAGATAAATTAGAAGTACAACAAAACCTCATCGAGCGGTAGAAAGAGGAACCCTAATAGACAAAACCCTAGATTTCTCTGCATTGGTATGGGGTTGAAACAAGCCTAACATTTATATAGTTGAATACAAACTGTGAATTGGGCTGTTGGGCCGATTATTTGGGCATCCAAATTCAAGAGCTCAAAGCCTACTTATGAGATGGTTATCCCCATTTACTAAATAAATAAATAAATATTTTTTTTGAGTGTAAAAATTCTTTCAAATTAATATTCTTTTTAAAAATGTATATAAAAACTAAATTTTTTCCTTGGACATCTTTACAAGGGTATACGAAAAAAAGAAAAAAATAGTTAAAGATGAAAATTTTCTAAAAAGTTAGTATAATTGAGAGTTGAGAGTTGAGGTTACTTATTTATTGAGAGGGGATAATTAAAAATGAAGCTCTGATACCATGTTAAGAATGGGTAACAAAAGTGGGATTGAAAGTACAAGAAACACGGATAGGATCAAAAGTCTAGAAGGAATTAAAACAAAAGACCATAATGGATTGAAAGTCCAAGAAACATGGGTGGGATCGAGGGTGGATTTGGTGGAGTCCCAAATCGATTGGAGAAAGGAACGAGTGCCAGCGAGGACGCTGGGTCTTGAAGAGGGTGGATTATGAGATCTCATATCGGTTGAGGAGAAGAACAAAACTCTCTTTATAAGAGTGTGAAAACCTCTTTCTAGTAAACGCGTTTTAAAAATCTTGAGGGGAAGCCCGGAATGAAAAGCCTAAAGAGGACAACATCGACTAGTGGTGTGCTTAGGCCGTTACAAATCGTCCAAGTGGAATCTAAAGTCTAATTTTCATTAATCTTCACAATCAAATTCTGAAGATAAAATAAAATATATCAAATATAAAATTCTAACTAATTACGGCTATATAAAATATATTCCTATACATAAATATATACCTCGAAATATGATTTATAGACAAGAAAAATGTAGCCTACAAGGTTGAAGGAAATGATAGATAGGAGAGTTTCAAATGGAACAAGTGGTTTTAGACAACAAGAGTTGCTTAAGAAGATGGAGAAGTTTTTGATTGATTCAAACTGGAAATTAAACTCTCCATTCAGCATTCTTTTAATTCACAAACAATTTCAATCCAATCAATTTCAAAATATTTTTGAGATAAAACTAACAATTTCAATTCAAAAGTTTGAATATTATTAAAATTAGTTTAATAATCCTTTCCCTCGAGGCATCACCCAAATTGGAACGAAAGAGAGAAAAAAAAGTATATAAAATTAGCTAAGCTAACCACAAACCAAAGTACTTCCCCTCATGAAAGTTCCCATACAACTAATAACATAACTTACAAATTCACCATTTGCAGAACAAACCCACTAAATTGCGAAAACCACCCTTGTGATTGAACAACAACTATACTATGATGAGTGCATTCAAAAGACAACGAGAAAGAGATCAATAAACATGTGGTTACCGCTTTTTTGTGAGGGAAGAAGACACCCAACCAAACCCAGTTTAAGCCTTCTTACCTTTCAATGGCCCTTTTGGGATCTTGCTCAAAACCTTTTCTTCAAACACGGCGTAGTGCTTTTTGAACTCAATTAGTGCCTTTTCCGCTAATGGGTCGATCTTATCTTCATACTTCTCATACAGAACAGGAACAGTGTGCAACAAAACAAAGTCTGCGTTTTCAAAGTTGTTGTCAAACGTCAGAATCAAGAAAGGATGATAACAAGATGGCTATAAATATGAAGATAGAGCTCGAGTTGTCAAACGTCAGAATCAAGAAAGGATGATAACAAGATGGCTATAAATATGAAGATAGAGCTCGAGATGTCGTTACTTATGTAGAACAACGTCAAGAAATTGCACCAGCTTCCCACGATTGACAGAACCCACAAGCCAGCGATTGCCTGATATAGAGACATAACATTTCTATAATCTAGATAAAATTCAATTATTCTAACTTCGATTTCTGAGACTACAAATTAGCATATTAAGTATAATGGTCGAATCTGTAGTCCAATCAAGGTATATATATTAAGTTGCGCAACTTGTTCAGGCTCGGTTGCTACTTGAGAGTTGAGATAAACCCAACAAGTAAAATACACACAATAAAAAGACAAAAAGAGTGCATCAATAGCAGATACGTACAGTGATGAATTTCTTCAAATCTCTTCCAGTCGCAATGTCCCGCAATAATGCAAAACCACAATTGATTTCCGCCCTCAAAGTTGAAGCAAGCTCCAGGAAGGGGTCCGCAGGAAGTTGAACTTCTGGGATTCGGGGTGGACTCCTGTAACTACATTTGTTAAACAGTGGAAAGACGAGCATAATTTGAAGTCGCTAGAAACTTAATTATTGATAAAAGGAAGTTGAGATTCAGTAACTCACTTGTAGATAAATGTGTGGGCATTGGACCAAACAAACAAGAGCCCAAGAGAGAGGATCAGAGAACGAGAAACAAACGTAAGCAGATGGCACTCGAGCAGTTCAAAGAAAACCCAGATAACAGTGGCTCCAGTAAGGACACCAGCTGAGATCTTCTTATTCCTCCACAAGAATAAATCAGCAGCTGCATATGCAACAGGGGCCAGAAACGGTCATCAACATTACCAATCGCCAAACAAAAAATAAATTACCATACGACATAAGCAAGACAAGTGTCGTCATCAGAGCATATTCAAATGTGAAATCAGAAATGTGCAACGCAGAAAAAAATGAAGTAGAAGTATTGAAACTGGGACAAGGAACAAATATAACAAGTTCGGGGAAGAAAATAATAAATACTCTGTTCTGGAAGCTCAATGAATCACTCTATTATACCGTACGCTCGATCTGAACTATCAATGAAAATAATAAATACTCTGCTCTGGAAGCTCAATGAATCACTCAATTATAGCGTACGCTCGATCTGAACTATCAATGAGTCCCAGTAAGGTAAAGCAAGCAGAATCACTCAATTATAGCGTACGCTCGATCTGAACTATCAATGAGTCCCAGTAAGGTAAAGCAAGCAGATCTACAATTTCTAATTGTTTATATATTCTAAATCCAAGCAAAGAATAGGGAAACATGCTAGAACGAATCCAAAGAGCAAAAAGAAGCCTAAGAAACACCAATCAAGACGAAGGTCGAATAAAACGAATAGAAGCAGTGCAAAACTTAGGAAATGTAATAGAAAAAGCAAAACAATTATTCAATGAGTTCAAATCAGAGAGGTAAGATTCCGTACGTTTTCCACCGCCGAAGACATGATGAACTGGCCTCTCCCTTCCAAAAAGGCGGAAGACCTTCTCCTTCAAGGATCCCTCGGTTTCAGAGTCTGATCCCGACGAAGAAGAATCATGATCATGAATCTTCTCGACTATCTTGTCGATCAATGACTCCGATTTCGACTCACGAAGAAGAATCATGATCATGAATCTTCTCGACTATCTTGTCGATCAATGACTCCGATTTCGACTCAACGTTGTCAGAGTGTTCCGCCATGATTGATCGATGGCGATTGCAGTGACCAAGATCTGAAGAAGAAAAATCAAGCAACTCGATGCAGAGAGAGAGAAACTAGGGTTTTAGAAGAAGAGTTGAAGGAATTTGAAAAGTAACGAAAATGGAAGCAAGAACGACAATTAGATATTAAATTAATTGATTAATTAATTAACGGGTTGGCCAATGCGAAAGCAGATTGACGGAAACTGTCGTGGAAAAGGTACGGCGTTAATTGACGGCGTTGAAAAAAGCTGACGATTTAAAAGGAATGTTTGGGAAAGTAGCCGACACGAAGGGGAAATATGAGGACACGTGGCATCGAATCAAACTAGGTCAGCTCTGGACGGCTTGGACAGTTCTGTGGGTCGGTAATGGGGTCCACGTTTTGTGTGAAATACCATAACAGTCCTTATTTTCTCTCCTTTTAATAATAATAGTTTTAACATCCGAATAATTATAAATTATGATAAATAAAATTAAAAAAAAAATGTAATTTCAAGTTAGATTGAGTTGTGAAAATTTTCGGGTTGGGTCAACCAAAAATTGGGTAAAAAAAATCCTTCCGATGGTGAATTAAAAATTTATTAAAATTTATAATTTTTTTTTGTGTTGCTTTTTTTTTTTTCCTTCCGATGGTGAATTAAAAATTTATTAAAATTTATAATTTTTTTTTGTGTTGCTTTTTTTTTTTTAATCATTTCAAATAAGATATTTAATTAATAAGCTTAAAAAAAAGAACTATTTTGAGTAAAAACATTTGAAACCCAAGCCGGAATTTTCTTTTAAAAAATAGTTTAATATTCAAATGCTATAATTGTAATATTTAAGTTAAAGACTATGTTGAATTTTTTATTTTTATTTTTATTTTTAGAACTATGCCTATTAAATGATTTCTTTTGAAATTATATTAGTAAAATATTATTTTATATTTTTGTCTATGAACTTACATTAAACTTCTAAGAGGGTAAAAAAATAGTTGGATTGGGCTGGGCCTTTCAAGTAAAGATAGTTTAAGGGCCAGGCCTTTAATAACAATTTGGGCCGGCCCGTTAGTGTAAAGATTTTTATCGAGAGTGCATATCAATTGGGCCCAAATATATTGGGCCTATAATCTGAACTAGCCCTTGGACCTTTTGATGGTTTGAAATTGGAGAGAGTTTTGAAGTAGGAAATTTAGGTGATATATGAGTGAATTATGAGCATTAATTGCCAATTCGGTATGTTGTTGTATCCAACACTCGTTTCATTTATTGTTTCTACAAAACTTAATTTCATATCAATAATTCAACCCTAATTATTTTACATATTTTTGTATAAAAGTTTAAATTTTTTTACCAAATATAACACGACAGATACCGATTCAAATCTCTAACATTTTGATCAAAAAATAGGGTGACTGAAACTGGTATAACTTGAATGTCGTTCTTACTGTGTTTTCTCTCTATAATTTTCATAGTTTTGATTGTCGTTCTTCCTCTATAAGTCTATCTATAAGTCTACATGTATTTTGACTATAGACTTCAATCACGAAGCAAGTA